TTTTTTTTTTTTTATTAAGGACATTTCTCTGAAGACAAAAGAAATCTTGGCTACTTTAGCCTCACTTACTGAAGTTTCTGATGGCAATGGAAAACCAACCCTTAATGCCGAAGCCCTGAAACAAAAGCGATTTCCACCAGCCACAGAAAACTTCCTTTTTCATTTAGCAGCTGCTGAACAAATGCTCAAAATCTGATTTTGATGCACTGCAGTGTTATGGACCAATTCAGAAAAGCTGTCTCTGCCATCCAGATAGGTATACCTGKTATTTTATATGAAAAGCTAAAGGTAGGAGTGAATGTCATAGTTACCATAATATAATGCAGGATATTGGAGTWTGACTGGGAACATATGGAGATGTATTTGGGAACATTCCTGGTGTCATTATCTCTCCCCAACTCTGTGTCTATGGCTCCTGTATTTCACATCACAAAGTGAGTGGATGTACAAGCAGCACAGGCCAGTGTGTCCAGGCTGTGGCAGACATCTGTGTGGTGGCTGTTTGTCCTGCACATTCCAGTGGATGGACAGCTCTGACTTGTCTGCCTGGGGTCTGGAACACCACTGCAGCACAGCTGGGATCTGCTGGGATGTGCTGATCTCKGCACAGGGATACCCTGAACATGCAMCTGGTCTGAGCACTCCTTCTGGGCTTCCAGGGATGTCAGCCAGTCAGAGCTCTTGCTGTGGACTGCCTGATACCTGGAAATCCTAAATAAATGGACAAGTTCTCTCTTTCTACTTGAAAATGTCTAGGTGTRAATAAAGGATGTCTGGGAAAACCTGATGTGTTAGCCTTAGTATGAAAAGGAAGGGGTATTTTGAAGCTCAGKTGTGAGTTGAGCACCTCTTTTGGACTCTTGCCTTAGAGGTTTCCCCCCTTTCACTCCATCCCATKCCTCTGATGGAGGGATAAGATAGAGGATTACTGTGCTTAAAATGGGGCTTCTTAGGGGGTCATGGGCAAGTGCTGCCTTACAGCTGCACTCATTTGAGAAGTTGTTGGGGTTCTCAGCCGAGAAGAGACCTGGCCATTGATTCCTGATCCACATGAGAGAAAGTCAGAAAAGTTAAAGCCTTATGGACAGGAGTGCTCMAATGGCCAGGTACCACAAGTAGAGCATCAGTTTCTTGAATGACTGGAGCTGTAACACAGGTACTGTTTGATGGTGCTCTGTGTAAACTAAATCTAGACTGAAACTTTTGAAGACATAGTGAAAACTGGGAAAGAGTTTAGAGAAAATTAAAATTTGCCTATTTGTCTGGTTGCACAGCCATAACTCAAGAGTTTTTTTGGTTTTTGTTTTTTTTTTTTTACTGAGCAGCCTGAAGCTAACTGCTTTACAATCTTCTGAGAAGAATTTAGAGTCTTTGTAGGGAAATGCTCTGAGCCAAACAATCTGTATTTGTTCAGAAATGTCCACAACAAATCAATCAATTCTGCAGTAGCACTTTGTTAGAAGAAAAAAATAACCTTTTTCCTGGCCTTTGTACAGATGGACTGTAGCATGTGGTTTTACATAGAGATTTTATACTTATGATTAAAACTTTAGTAACCAATATTTATATGTTAAATAATTGGATGTTTGCTATTCTGAAACTGGTAGAGCTCATCAGTAACTATGTGCAAGCAATATTGGTTGGAAAAAGAGTTGTCCTWTTGCTATGTATCATACCTGAAGGAAATCTGTTTTAGAATGGGATTAAGGAATGTGACATCTGTGTATAAAATGGGTGGTTATCACAGTCAGAAAGAAAGTGCTTCAGAACAATCCCCTATTTTCAGGGGTGTAAAATTCTGCTTTAACACTTAGTCTGAAGTTTAAAATCTGAATAGAGTAGCATGTATTTTTTTTTAACTTCTGAGAAAAATACTACAATTGCCTTTGTTTACCTGTAAGTGCCCTGCAGCTTTTTTTTTTCCCCCATTTGCCCATTAATGTTTTTTGTTAATGGTTCTTTAATATTGCTGCTTTTGTTTTGGAGCCTATAAAACAGTTCAAATAGAAGAACTGCAAAACTCTGCTGAAAATTCAATTCAAAACCTACTTTAAAGTCCACTGAAATGGAATTCTTTCACCAAGGAAAACCTGAATTTGCTTCAGCCAGCTGTCTTAAAACCACAGTGTAACTGAGAAGAAATTCCCATCGTTTCTTATTAACAAACTGCCTTAAGGCATATCTAGAGACAACCACAAAAGGCAGAGAAGCTGAATTGCAAACTAAACCTTGATGCCTGTTTTGTTTTCTGTTTTGGAAATGTTTCAGTTGAAAATCTCAGTGTTGTATTAGATCTTCTCTTTTTGTTTGTGCAACACAGCTGAAATACAATTTTGCACTTAAGGAACTGGACTCATAGCATGCTTATGCCTATTAAAAAATTCCTGAACAGTCTACCCTTTCATATATGTAAATTTATTCTTGAGTAGTTGTGCCCATGGAGCCACAGGCCTTAGCTTTTAGTTTTGCAATACTGGGATTGAGCTAGGGTTTGGTGTTTRGGTTGGAAATGTACTGCTACATGTTCAAACACTTCTGTCATTGCTGATTTTATCATCAGTGCTGTACAACATTATTGGCTTCAGCTCAGCTTCACTGCATTCAAARGATTGTCCTAATGTTCTTGCATTTTCTTAATGACTTTGTTTCTTCTCAAAAAAGGTTTAAAATAAAATAGAAAAATCTGTGAGGTCAGGACAGAAAAATATTTCTACTTATTTCTTGCTTCCCTTTCCCCAGGATGCACAYAAGCAGACTGTGGATGCAGTTGCTCTTTTGCAGTCATAACATCCTTTCTTCCTCCTAGAAGCAAAGACCATTTAAAATGGAATTTTTATTCATACCTTTTAATCTTACTGCTTTTCTGTTCTTGGAGAAATATGAAATGGTGAATGGTTCCTGTGCCATAACATTTCCACTGTGTTTGCAGAAATTGGAACGTAGAGAGTGAGAAGGGCAGAGGCTTGCAAAGGGGAGCAGGAATAAACACTTCAGTCTCTGTGGCTGAGGTTTTGCTGAGTAAATTGGGTTACTTGCTTTACTGCTTTCATCCCTGGRGTTTTAGTTCCTGGTATGAGCTGCCCTGCCCTGTTTCCCTGCAGGCAAATGTGTGAGGGGGGAATGTTCAACTGAGCAGTGTAATGCTTTGTAACCCAGAAAAACTTGACATGAGACATCTGATAGAATCCATCTTAAATGTCCTGGCTGCTTCTGCTTTTATCCTCTGACTGCTCCTGAAATGGGTACTGAGGGTTTGTTAATTGTGTGATCTGAGATGTCACTTGAAGCATATCAATCTCTAGATACAAAACAAGCTGTAAAGCTCAGTATAGGGAATTCATAGCTGCCTCCTAGTGCCTTGCACCCTTCCCAAGGAAGCTGTCTGGCTGGAGTCTGAGTCAGAGGCTTCTCTGGTCAGGTGAAGTCATTCCTTGGAGCTGCTGAGTGATGTGGGACTTGGGTGGAGACTCCAAAGACGGGGCAACAGCTCCATCCTGAATGACACTGTGCAGCATGTGGGGTGGTGTTTGCTGACAGGGAAGGAGCTGCAGTGCACGACTCCCTCCCTGCCTTCAGCCTTCCTTCCTCCACCCCCATCATGTGGGGAAAAAGGAAAAGTAGCGTGGCTGTGTTACAGGCCTGGGGGTAAAGCAGGGACACAGCTCCARCTAGAAAGGCTTTGATCTCAGTATTTCTTAACAGGGGAGTGGCTGGGGTTTTTTTTAAGCTACATTAAAAAGGCTGAAAGCCTCGTTGGATTTTCCTACATTTCAAGATGACAAGCTGAGTAGGTGGGGCACAGCATCCTAAGACTTCTGTTTTCCTTGAAGCCTAAAGCTTCCATCTGTTGTCATTCACCACAACTTAAACTGGTTCCACCACTAATGCACTGTCACTTAACACAAGGGCCAGCTAAGGCAGGAGACAGACCTGCCTTGAGCTGCTTGGTTATTAATCTGTTTCACATCACAAAGGGGAAGATTTCCTGTAGTTGCTGACTACAAGGTCCCTCAAACATGGTGCTTTGCTGCTTGTCCCAGTCTTGTTCACTCACTCTGGACTATCAGGTGTCTGGTTCTGGCAGTTCTCATCTTGAACCAGTGACTGTTTCAAGACTGAGGATGCCAGGGCCTTTTAAGCAACATATTTTCCTGCCCTGATTTTGGAAGCAGCTGAATCACACAGGCTGACAGTTTAAATGGCAGGTGCCTGCCCTCCTCTTCTGGAAAATTCTGGTTAGGGCAATAGAAACATTTATGAGAATGGGGAAAGGGGTATTTAATAATCCTGAGAGAGCTGAGTTTAATATGGCAAATTTCAACTCAAGTATTCAGTAAGGAGCTGGTGGAGTTTGAGAAGGGGCAGCTGTAATAACAGATACTATTACTAGACCTATTCCAGAAACCTTACTCATGGAGTTGTAATGACATCAATTTGCTTAAAACATCCAAGTGTGGTGCCAGTGAATTTATAGCTTGTCTAGTTACCATGACGATCCAAAGTTCACCAATATATTCTCTTCTATTTGTTGGCTTTGCTCTACTCTTAGGTTTTGGGTTTTTCTTCCTTGTTCCCGCTGTGGTTCATGTAACTAGATTTACTTTAACCATTCTTAAATTAAAAAGGAGTGGGGAGAGGTGCAGGTCTTCACTSTAGTGCCAGTTTGTGTTTACTGAGAGTGGAATCAGACCCCTTCTGCATCTGCCTTTGGTATGTGACTGATATAGGATTAACAGAGAAACAGGTTTAGATAATTAACTGTAGGATAGTATCTATGCCTCTGCTATTAAAGGTTTGGAAAGAGACAAACACTTCCTTCAGAGACACAGGCTGAGGCTTGAGCCTTTTCCACCTGACCCTGTGGTAGAATCATGGAATGGTTTGGGTGATCCTAAAGACCATTCAGTTCTATGCTCCTGCCATAAGCAGCAGACCCTTTGGTTTGACACARTGCAATTATCTTGTTGACCCTGATGGGATTTTACCATGTACTGAAGACCCACAGAGGCTGAGTGAGCCTGTAGAGTTCACTAGGTGTAAATGATCCTTTACCTTTAAAGATTCACTACAGTCCTCCAGTGAAGTAGTGCAAACTCTGCCAACCTACAGACAGTATCCATATGGTCTTCCTGGAACAGCCTTACAGCATGTTCCCCTCCAGTTCCAGGTCCTTAGGATGTGCTCCTGCTCCTCTCTCCTATTCCCTCGTCTGACCTTTCTCTGCAGTAAGTTGTTAGAGGAAGGCTCAAAAAAGGCAGAACTCAAGCAACAAATTCAACTCAACCCCCAACTTCCTGCTTTTGTTCAGTGCCAAGAGCACAGCAGGAATGTCTTCCTGCAAGAGCCCAGGCCTGCTGGTTTTCCTTTGCTCTGTGCTGCTGTTTTCCTGCAGGATGGATTGGATTGGGAAACCACTGGTTTCCTCACACTGTGAAAAGAGAGGGGCTGCCTCACTCACGTCTCATCCTCAAAATGAGCATTGTTAGATCACTGAAAGACACAAACTGTTCTGAGGAGAACCAGCTGGACTTTACCCACGGGAGTACCGATGTCAAAGCCTTTACCAGCTGGGTTCCTGGAAAGCAGTGTGTCAGAASTTGCAGCAGCAGAACAAACTTATGTACTCAACAGTCATTTAATTAAGAAATTGATCACCCAAGGAAGCACAAAACACAGGTTGTGACAAAAGCTGTGTTACAGTGCTTTTTTAGTACTTTTTAGCATCAGGTGAGGTGTTTTTATCTGCATTCAGGCTGGGGCTGGCAAAGCCATGTTGCCAGGYTGTGTCTCTGTAGAGGCCACACCATTGTACACCGACTCTGCCATGTATGCCACCACAGAATCACAATTCAGTCACAAATGCCAGTGATGCMTTCAGAATTCACTTCGATCAGAGCACACATTTATATATAAAATCCAGTCTTTAAATTCCCCTGTTGTAGAAGAACTCTGTTTCTTCTGTAGATGACACAATTTCTGGTTCAAGGTCTGCTCGCTTTATCTGCAATGTAAGAGAAACAGGCATCAGCACCATCACAGCCTGGTAGGTGTATGTTAAATCCTTGTTACTCTATTGCACTTTGTACAARTTCAAGTACTGCATTCAGTATTTAGGACTTGGGGCTCTTTGTTTATTTGGTGATTTTTGCTTTGTTGTCTCAAGAGATTAAGAAATCTAAAAAAAAATACAATATAATGCCAGAAAGTTTAGGCAAATAAACCACTGAAAATTGCAAGAGCCTAGTCTGTGATTTCTAAGACTATTCATATAGTGCTGATAAAGGGGAGRAAACAAATGCAGAAAGGCTCCTCTCTCATTTGGCCTTCTCCAAAGCCCAAGGTTCAAGGGCTACATCCTTCATGTAAAACCTGCCCAGGAAGGCATTCTTTCCCAGGGAACAGATTACACTTGCCAGTTCAGCAAGGCAGGGTGAAGAGATGTCACATGTGAGCTGGTTTACCTCTCCAGTGAGCTCATGTTGTCTTTGCATGAAAGAAAAAATTCTCATCTAYATCTTTCCTTTCTCCTGAAGGACTGAGTACAGTGCTGGAAGAGCCTTGGCTTAAATCTTCAAGATAGTTCTCCTGACCTTGCTTTCTTCAGACTGTTGTGAAAGTCTGATAAATCTACATTGGAAAGTGTAAATATAAATAACACACAATGCAGCATAGACCTAGAAAGTCCTGTGAGCCTCTGCCTGGTACAGCAGCCCCTCTGTGTATCACATTAATCATGTTGATTATTATATATGTGGCCTTCAGACTGCTGGCCATAGTTCTGGAAAGTCAATTTAATGTCACAATAATCGTAAATCAATTCCTATGAAAGGACTTACCTCCCCACACTGCGGGAACATACTAAATGAGACTGGCAGCATCCCTGCTAGGACKGACATAATCACAAACATTCTCACTGGACCCAAAGCACGAGGATTTTTGACAAATCTTGCTCTGTCCAAGACATTGAAAAAGTATGTCAACATAAGAAAAACAATCTGACAGAGACACGAAGAGCATTAGCTACTATTTTACTGGTTGAAGTTACATTGAAATTAGTAATAATCTGGGCTTATGGTTCCTAAAGATGTTTCCTTATATAATTTCCTATGTTCTTACTCTTAACTTCCTGTGCTTTCCCTTTATTTTGTGTTTGCCTGCAGCTTTTTTACCAAGCCCAGACTGTCAACATTAAGAAAATAAGCAGCAAGATCAAAGTGACAGAAGGAGAGAAGGTACATTCRTGCTTTAAAGTGTCAGTTCTTTGATTAAGATTTTTCTTGCATTACCCTCTTTCCTTCCACATTTAGTCCCTGCRGGCAGTTCTACTTTGCCTTGTGCAAACATTTATTATTTGACATATATATTTAAAATTTTATCTTACACTTGCATTTGTCTTTTGATAACAGGAGTCCCTTAAGCTAAGAWAGGGGACAGGGAATCAATTTAGGCAATACCAAATTACTGACAGAGATGATCCCTGCACTACTATATGACAAAAATCATGACCAAAAGCTCAGGGCAGGCTAAGGATMCTCTCATACAGCATACAATGTATTCTTAGGATACAGGGGTTTAAAATGTTGCAAAAGCAAGAACATGTTTTGCRATACATGGAAAGCTATTTGGAATTTGGGATTCAGCTTTAGTTGCAAATTCAAGTGCCACATTAACACTTAAAAAAATACAAACCTAAGCTAAGTGCTGTGAACAACCTTGATACAGGCATTGGGACTCAAATCTTAAATTAGGGAACTCAAGGTGAGTAGGTGCTGGAAAACAGCCTGTCAGGAGACCGCAAACATGTTTCCTGCATGGGAGCAGAGAGAAAAACTTCACTCCTGCAAACCCTCAAAGCACGGGTTCAGATATAACCAGATTCACTTAATGATCTAAAAGAATCACAGCAGCTGAACATCAACTTCCCACATCATCACTTCTACCAAGGCAAGTAATACTGGAAACCCATGAGAAAATCTTAAAATAGTAACAGACTAAAAACCAATGAGAATAGCCACAGACCAGGCACCCCCAGCACTTTGCAGTGCCTCTCACCTCTGCACAAAGTACATGAACACTTCTGGCAGGAAGAAYGTTGTCCCAAACAAGGCTGCTCTGGACAATGCCGTTTCCCTAACAGCCTTCAGGGAGAGAGCAAAACRAGTGTTGGCAAAGCAGTGCTCTGGGCAGCTTCAAACACTGCCTGCTTCCCAAGTGCTTTTTTGTCTAACATTCTGGAGTTTAAAGCAACTGGTTAATGAGGGATAAAAACATCAATTAGAGGAATTATTTTTAAARTGGAAACTAAGAGGCAAGTACTCTGATTATGACTGAGAAATTCCAAAAAAGGGAGGTGAAACTACTGATCAGTTTTCCTGCCATGATAATAATTTTGCTGAGACTTGTTTTTTTAAGGTTGTGCTGAACTTCTGTCTTGGGTTGTCTCAAACTGAGACAACTTCATACAATTGGTATTGTATACCTTCTGGGCATC